TACTATTATTATTATTGTTATTGTTGTTATTATTATCGTTATTATTATTATTATTACTATTATTATTATTATTATTATCATCATCATCATCATCATCATCTTCATCATCTTAATCGTCATCGTCATCGCCATCGTCATCATTATTATTATTATTGTTATTATTATTATCATCATTATCATTATCATCATCATTATTATTTCTTTTTTATTTTATTTTTATTTTCATTATATATAATAATGTAATTGAAAATTTAAAACGATATTACATAAGGTTAATAATAAACAAACGCATCTTCATTTTTGTTGTTACATTTTTGTTAGCCTCCTGAAATCCTTTTGAAATAAAATACTACAAGCATTTTGTTACATCTATGAAAGAAAATGTAACAAGTACAGAATAATTTATTATATTTTTGTGAATACATTTATTGTTTGTGGAAAATAACAACTGAGAACATTGTAAGTACTAAAAATTAAATTTGATTACAAGTTAGTAGAAACGTAATCGTATCCTAATTTCCTTATTCCAAAGATAACTTTTTCATTACTACATTAGGTTTTGCATTAATTGAGATATATTAGATATAATAATATAAGAAAAATATATTTGTGTTGCATTTAAAATTTGAAAAAATACACAATAATTTAGTTACATCATAAATTATTTATTTACGTTATTCAATTACGTTATAGTTTTATTTACTCTTATGTAGATCAAAGAGATACCTTTATCATAAAGAAATTAATTTTAATATAATTTCGAAAGGAAAAAATTGTAATCCATATGTTTTAATTTAATTTCTTACTTATTTTTATATATCAAATTAGGTTATTATAGATTACTGTAGATTATTGTATGATACAATATTAAATTCCTGAATATTTTTAATTATGGCGCCATGATATAATATGGTCAGTTTCAACTCTTTTCCACATTACATTGCAGCCAATGAAATTTAAAAATATTGTAAACACAAGTTTGAAAACAATTTGAAAAGTAATACCTTCTTTAGGCATTTTACATTATTTCTTGTGATAAATTAAAATTTTGTAGTGCAATATTTTTAAATGTAAGATTATTTAGTATTTAGTATATCGGTTTATAACTATATGACAATGTATGTTCCTACAATAAGACGATAGACAATTGATTGATTTTCTATCTATTTTTACAAAACGATATATTGATAATGACAGAATCAATTCCAACATCTGAAGAGTCAAAGAAAATTAATGCAATAAATAAACAAGCAATTCATCAAATTTGTTCTGGCCAGGTGAGGTTAATCTACGAGTATGTTAACATTTGGTCCTTTAATATTAATATTCTATATTTAATGTGTAATATTAATTATTTTTTACCTAATAAATATCCTTGTTTTATCATTCCTACTTTTTATGAATGTCTATGATATTAACCTACCTTTTATGTTTACATTTTAATTAGTGTAATTTAATATCTCTTTTTATTTCATAAAGTGAATATGTATTTTTCTATAGATAAAAATTAATACTCAATACATAATTAATGATTTTAACTTATTTTATGAATTTTATTATATCCAATAATGTTTTACACAAATGAATTACGAAAAAAATGTTACATAAAGAAAAAATGATATATTTGTATTTACAGAGTTTAAAAAAGTAATACATATCTATGACGAAAACTATACAAATTTCATTATAGATTATATTTATCTTGTTTATTATAGATTATATTTTTGCCTGAATATTACTTTAAGATTCTCTAATATTATTGTATAATAATTATTAAAAATAATTTAATCACTAGCTAAACAAATGTATGAGTTGAAAGTGTCAAAGAAATTAAAATATTAGATTCTGTAACATATACAAAAATTTCTAATGGTAGAAATTTAAGGTCAATGATGAACCTTACTTTTTTTGTAATTGTATGTTATATGTATAAATTTATATATTTATTATATGATGTTGAGAACAACAAAATTAGTTTAAAAGTTTCTACAATATCTCTTACTTCATACAAAATCTTTGTTATACTTTTAAATATTTCAAATAAAATTAAATAAGATATCTTCTATGCAGTACTACATTTTTAAATTTATTGTTTAATAAAGAATAAATAACAGTTTTATTGATTTCAAGATTTCTGAAGTAATTAAATTATTTACAAATATTTATATGTATATTTACATATGTAGGTGGTACTTGATCTTGCAACTGCTGTGAAAGAACTTGTGGAAAATAGTTTAGATAGTGGTGCTACATTAATTGATATTAAATTGAAGGATTATGGAAAGACATGTATTAGTGTCAGTGATAATGGGAGTGGTGTTTTAGAACAAGATTTTGAAGGATTAGGTATATATACCTGTATATATTTTTTCATGCATATTTTTTATAAAATTAAAAATATTCAAAAATAAAACAATATTTAATTAAAATTTATTGAATGTAAAAATTAAATAAGAAACATTTAAAAGAAAATTCTGACGTACTTTTATGTTAAATATATTGTATTTTTTTTTGCTCAGGACTGAAGCATTATACTTCTAAGCTTCGAGAATTCTCAGATTTAACAAAAGTGAGCACTTTTGGATTTCGGGGAGAAGCTCTTAGTTCACTTTGTTCATTAGCTGAAGTAATTATTATTACAAAACATTGTACAAGTGAACATGGTTTTAAACTACAATTTGATCATAATGGTGTATTGCAAGAAAAAGAACCATGTGCAAGAGAAATAGGAACAACTGTACATATCAAAAATATATTTAAATGCCTCCCTGTGAGAGAAAAAGAATTTCAAAGAAATCTTAAAAAAGAATATACTCGTGCTATACAAGTACTATATAGTTATTGTTTAGTTTCTACTGACACAAAGATAACATGCTCTAATTCTGTGACAGGCAAATCTCCTAATCTTGTAGTCAGTACTTCTAATTCTGGTAATATTTTAAGCAATATTAACATAGTGTTTGGCAAAAAATCATCAAATGGACTCATTAAAATTGAATTGTTAGCCCCTAATGAAGAAACATTGCAAGAATATAATTTACCAAACAACGTAGTTGTGGATTTTGAATGGGATTGTTATATTAGCAGTTGTGATCATGATATTGGACGCTCTGCTCCTGATAGGCAATTTTTTTATGTAAATGGCCGACCATGTGATCTGACAAAAGTCAGTAAATTAATAAATCATATTTATCACAAATATAATAATAAACAATATCCGTTTATCTTTCTAAATTTAAAGTTAAATAAGCATTCAACTGATATCAATGTAACTCCAAATAAAAGAACTATTTTGTGTATACAAGAACATTTAATTTTAGCAACTTTAAAATACAGTTTAACATCTAAATGGGACAAGTTACAAGGAAATTTGATTGTAAATTCTGTAGTAGAATTAAATTTTGGAGTAAAAAGAACAATTTCACCCACAAATGTAGATCAACCAAGAAAAAGGTTTCACAATTTAAATGTGATATCAAATATAAAATATACAGAGGAACAAAATATACAGTGTAACAGGGAAAATACGATTGTTCAGTATAATAATGATAAGGTACAAAATGGTATAACAAATCAGCTAAAAACATTACATAATACAGAAATGTCAATTACTATTCTAATGATAAAGCAAAAGCTTCAAGAAAAACAGAATGTCGTACCCAAATGTGTTATTTCAAGTACAAGAATTGAATTTAAAGCACAAATTGAATCAAATCAAAATTCTAAGGCTGAAAATGAATTGAAAAAACAATTAACAAAAGATTCCTTTTTCAAGGTTAAGTAAAGTAATTAAAATTTTAATTGTCTATATATATTTATATTGATATTAAAAGAAAAATACTTTACAGATGGAGATTATAGGTCAATTTAATCTTGGTTTTATAATAGCTCGTTTGAAAGATGATCTCTTTATTATTGATCAACATGCTAGTGATGAAAAGTATCGTTTTGAAAAACTTAATTCTGAAACACAATTAAAAACCCAAAAATTAATTGTTCCTAAATTTTTAAATATATCTGCACTTAATGAAACAATATTAATTGATCATCAAAAAGCATTTGAAGATAATGGTTTCTTTTTTAAAATAAATTCTGAAGGTAAACATAAAAAACTTTTTTGTCATGATTAATTATTGTCAGAAAAATAATACACTTCTAAATTAAGAAAGTATAAATATAATTCCAAATATTTTATGCTTTAGCTGAATCTGGTCATCGTGTACAATTAACAAGTATACCAGTTAGTGGTTATTGGCAATTTGGACAAGAAGATATTGAGGAACTAATTTTTCTTATTAAAGAAGGTGGTATAGAAAATAAAGAAAAATGTATATTTCGTCCAAGTCGAGTAAGACAAATGTTAGCATCAAGAGCTTGTCGTAGTGCAGTTATGATTGGTACAGCTCTTAATAATAATGACATGCAAAGATTAGTTAACCAAATGGCACAAATGGAAAATCCTTGGAATTGTCCCCATGGTAGACCAACAATAAGACATTTGCTATCATTAAATCTTATACATAAATGAAATATATTTTACATTCTATGTGTCATATATATTATGAAATATGTAAGTAAATTATGCATTATCATGCATTATCATGTATTATTATCTATTTATAACAGAAGAAAATGAATTTTAATTTATAAGCACATTGAAATAAAATATAACAAAATTTATTTTTGTTATATCTAGATTTAAACAAATTTATAATCAATACAAAAAAATGTTACATTAATAAAACAGAGATTATGTATTACTACCAGATGAAATAATCAATAGAAATTATTTTATAAATATAATATTAAACAAGTATATTTATTATATACTAATTGTACGGAATACATTAAATCCTGAATGTGCTGTTGATATTACAGTACCAGGACATTGAGGATGCCAATGCAATTCTTTTATATCACTTTGACCTTGATGTATAAATAACAATTGTGGTGGCAGTTCCTTTAATTCACCAAGTTCTGTCTCTTCTGATTCATCAGTTTCTACTGATAAATCCCATTGTGCAATTTGATCATCAGCTCCACCAGAAGCAAATACAGTGGCCTCTAGGGGATGCCACTCTACGGTTGTAACAGGTGCAGTATGTTGTTTAAACACGGCTAATGGACTTGAACCATTAGGGCCAAATTGACGTAAATCCCATACACAGACTAAACCATCATCACCACCAGATAAAAGAAACTGACTTTCCTTACGATTCCACGAAATAACATTAACATCAGCAGTATGTGTACCAAGTGCTGTTAACATGCAAGCAGATTGCGGACTTGCTCTTGTATCCCAAATTTTGATACTGTTAAAGTTATAGCACAATTAAAAAAATGTTAAATACTTGTAATATTACATATTACATACAATAAGATATAGATTAAATTAGTATAAATTTATCCGAAACATAAGTGAATTTTTTATCAGTTTAATTAAAATTATACCTTTTATCAACAGAGCATGAAGCAAGTACATATTTTTCATTAGGTGACCACTGAATATCTTCAACACTGTGTGGTGCATGTGAATTGTAAGGTCTTTGATCCACATGCCATGTTGCAGAATTATTGACATTATTAAGATGCCATATATGGATATTACCCTTACAATCCCCAGAAGCTAACATGCCTATTTCTGTTGAACACCAATCAAGTCCATATCCTTCTGATAGGTGACCTTTAAAACTAAACATTGGTTTAATGCCTCCATCACCTTTTTCAGATTTTTTACGATATGCACGAAGTAATTCATCATTATCAAGTGCATTTAATTGTTTATCCAAATTCCAAATATGTACACGACCTAATTCACTCCAAGTTGCTGCTAAAGTTGTTTCACCAATTTTTGTATGCCTATTAAAAGAAATAAACATATTAGTAGTTATAAATGTAAAAGACAAAAAATAGACATATTTACCTAATTCTATTAACACAACCCTGATGTTTTATTGGTGCAACAGTCATTACTGGTGTATTTGTATCATTTTTGTCATCCAATTCATCATCAGATTCATCATCTGAATCATTTTTTATACCATAAAGATTTTTCATTTTCATAACAAGGAGATTATTAACATGAGTTTTAGCAGCTTGTGTTCCAGCAACAAGGTACATACTCAGTGGGTAATCTTCTCTGTTATTACCCAATTCATCTAAAATTATATCAAAACTAAGACAAGGAGCTCCAGATTGCGCATGATGTAACATTCGATATGCTGTCTTGTCCACAATAAGTTCTTCTCCAGTTTTTAAAGGTTTCCCAGGCAGATATATTCTGGATTCATTATTTTGATCCTCGTTTTCTTCTTCTGCTTCATTACTTTCCATTGAATCTTCCTCATCACTTTCACTGTTACTTTCTTGCATATCCTCATTAATTTCATCCACTGATTCATATTCCATTTCTTTAGGAATTTCTTTATAAAAGATAGTCATCTTAACAAAAATACATCTATAATTAAAAATAAAACAGATATAAATAATCAAATATCTACCAAAGAAACCTAACCTTATACATCAAGGAATATAATACATAAAAATATATTAAATATTTTTTAATAAATATATAAAATGATAATTCAACTTAGCATAATATTTAAAAAATTGTTAAATATTGTTTTATTGTTCATGCAAAAGTTTAAAAAAAAAAAAGATTACCTTCTAACAGATCCAATGCACGTGGTTAAAGTAAAGCTCGAAAACGACACGTATATAATCAAATACATATACCCGTCAAACTGATCACTGCACTAAAATTTTTACAATATTTTTTTACTGTACTTTATTGGCAACTTCTTGTGCGAATCAATTTGGAACATTACAAATTAATAACATTAATAAAAGTGAAATTACAGTAATATTTAATTAATGACATTTAGGAAGTCATAGAAAATTTAAATACATAATTACAAAAAACGAAATCTACAAAATTCATGGTGCATCCACGTATTTATATTTCATTTTACATTAAATGTAATTTTCATACTATTCTTTTTTAATGACTTATATGCAGAAAAATTTTACTTCCTTCAAACATATATACTAAACAATTCCTACTGTAATCCTCGAAATAATTCAGTCTGTAAACTATGTATTGACATAGTATGTAAAATGTTTAACTGATATATAAATAAATTCAAAGCATTACCAACAAAACTTTTTTTCAAAACAAACTCTTGAGGTACAGATATGTTTCATTATGAGATTTATAACATTTTTTGAGTATATGTAAACAACATGAGAGAAATATTCTAACTGTGGAATCTTTTTTGCATAAAACACCATCCACTTTACGTATGAAAATTATGTAGTTATTTATGTATGAAATATAAGCATTATTTCCCTGACAAAATTGTGATAAAAATGAGAACTAAATCGAAGAAACTGCTCCTTTATGGACCAGTTTATTAACTAATTTATATGAATAAGCATAACATTAATAACAGCAAAAAAAAAATGATAATGATTGCAATTGACAATAATAATAATAGTATCTGTAGGAATAATAGCATTAATGGTAGAATAGCAGTATTAATGACAATAGTAGTAGTAATAGTAGTAGTAGTAGTAGTAGTAATAGTAATAGTAGTAATAGTAATAGTAATAATGGTAGTAATTGTATAGTAGCAGTACTAGTAGTTATAACAAGACCCACTGCATTGTACTACAAATAACAAAAAATAAGATGAGAGGAAAATAAAGAAAAGGAGAATATACAAATGGTGTCATTTTACATATAAAATACAACTTCAGTAATTGATATAACTATACGAAAGGAAAGGAGCAGCAACAAATATCTAACACTTGATGGCAATTATTCACGCAAATGGATGGTATTTAATATTAGCTGTGTTTGTTAAGATGAGGATTGTTACTAGAATTATTCATTAACTGGATAGATGTTACAGTAGTATGCGAATGATGAGGTGGTGAAATATTGGGATTATGTCGAGGATTAGTATTATGGAGGCTGTGTATATAAGAACGCTGGACGGGCTTGTGCTGAGCAAGCTGAAGCAAGGCCTCTGGTATAGAGAACCATTTTCGTTTTCGACCAATAGCACGTGAATCTTCCCATTCTGGCAACTCTTCGGTTACTCGCATAACCCATACTTGTGTTCTATGTTTATGTTCCACATTCTATAAAAAAAGTTACATTAACAATTTGTACTCTTGTTTTTAAAAATATATTAATTAGACTTTATATACATTAAAAAAAAAAAATTGTGTTTTATATTTGAGCAAATTAATACCTCAAATATGCCAAGACATCTGCCTAATTGTCCTAAAACACCAGCCTCTTCTCTAACTTCTCGTAATGCTGTTACTGCAGGTTCCTCCTCTGGTTCAACACCTCCACCAGGTACTATCCAACTGTCAGGTCTTCGACTGGATGTAACCAAGAGTACCTATATTATGAATAATATAAAAATTTAATGTACACTTACTTCACGAATCAAAAAGAAACATAATATTTGATATTAAAATAAAAATAATGCGTTGATGAAGGAAAATAGATCAACTGCCATCTGCTGGCTTACCTCATCTTCAAGATCATTTTTGACGCAGATACATGCAGCTCTACGTCTATAACCTTCTGAATCGTAAATACGGATTGAATTTGGTTTTTCCTTGACCATGATCGATTACTAAAATTATGAAATTATGCCATAAATTCATATTTGTCAGACGGCCAGATAGGCCAATCTGTATGCTTGCATTGTTTTAACGTTGTTTGAAGCCGACATATTATCGACATACAATTGATCAGCGAGCTTTAATTGCTCACATAATTAATTTAAAAAGTCTATGTTTCGTCCGAATACTAGGACGATTTTCTGCCTAAACAATACTATATCACGATAACACTACCAATGTTGTCCTTGCAGAAATTTGCTATAACCTCAAAACTTTTAAAGTATTCACTAAACAAGTAACCCCATCTACACTAAGTTTTCAACGTAGCATTAAAAGGTGAATATTCAACGTTACTATTTCACACAAATTTATAACTATATTTATTATAATAAAATAAGTTTATATAATAATTACTACTAAATAATTTGAAATAAGTTCAGAATATGACTGAAACTTTATTATTATTTCAGAAAACACTTTATACTATAACAATGTCTGTATACATTTACAAGTATTAAAACAGTTTCAAATGTTTAATATATAGCATTACTATCATTATTTCTATTTTAATTGCGTTGTATATATCATAATTAAATTAATTGATGAAAATATTTATATATAAATTTACTTGACTTTTAATGAAGATTTTTAGTATAATTACTATTGGAGAATTTTGTTGTGTATAAAGTGTTAATGTAAATAATGTAAAATTCTTATTATAAGCATTCATATTATATTTATACGTACATGTGCCCACACACACGTACATATATATATGTGTACATTTATAATATTCTTTTTATAAAAAATAATTATCAACACAATATATAAAACTAACATATTTAAAAATTAAAGTAGTTCAGAAATATATTTCAAACAAAAAAAATCAATACAAAAGAAAAGAATAAGGAAATGTGATATAATTTATAAAAATAGAAATAATTACAATTATAAACTACATTAAATGATGCATATGTATCACAATATTAACTTTGCTTTGAAATTTTAAAAACTTAATATTATAATCTAATAAATATTGACTAACATTTATATTATATTGCAATTAATTCATACTGAATTTAATTTATTTATATGACTATATTTTTATTTATTTTCTTTATAAAATTAGAATAAATAAAATGATAATGTATTAAAAAATGTAAATTTCCGAAAAAAAAAATTACAAGGTACATGTAAAATAACCATTGAAGAATTAGGTTAAGATTTTACAGACATACCTTATAAATGAATTTAACATTTCTGTTTAATTTCTAATATTATATGGTATAACGAAATAATGATCCATATAGATATATACAATTTATTATGAATGTTTATTTCAAATTCTTTAAAAGTTTATTTTTAATCATATTTTAATTCAATTTTATTCGAAATATGTACTTATTTTTCTTTTGAAAGCCTTATATATATGTATATTCATATATCCAATTGTAGTACCCATAAGAGTTAATAGGGTTATATTTTTCTACGTAGATAAATATATCTAAATTATAAAATAATTCTTAATTTTTGAAGTTAATATGAAAACATTTGAAAAGCATTATGCTATTGCTATGTATTTTATACAAAATATTTTGATAATTATCCAACTTGTACTTATATACAAATTTTTTAATATATAATTAAAATTTCAATCAAATAACTATTTATGAATAAAATTAGAAGTGGTTGCTTTTTGAATCCTATTATAAAAAATGGAATTAATTAACTTAAAATACGTTTTTAGGGTATAATTAATTAAGTCTTACTTTTTAAGTGATAATAGATTATTTATTTAAACATTTAATCAGCACTAAATCCCTTACAAATTATAGAATGTATTGTTTATATTACAAATCTGATCTAACTCCAAATCCAGGTCCTGGTGGTGGAGATGTTAATGATGTTAAGCCACCTGCTGGATCTGCTGCAAATCTAGGAGAATTCTGTGGACCTGGTGGTGGTCGTTCACCTTTTTTAAATGCATTTATTATAGCAGTTGCACTTTCAGGAGTTAAGTCCTCCTGTAAGATGTTTATATTATTTATATTTATGAATGTTGAATAATAACTTGTGAGTTATGAAGTTTAAAAATATTTCTAGATCAATGACTTATATTTCTAAAATCAGATTAATCATAACCAATTACTGTTTCAATGGAATATTTGTTGTTAATATGTAGTTAAAATATAAGTGTTAAAGTATTTATTATGTTAATATTTTATATATTATATAATGAAATATTTTTTAGATTTAAACTTACATAATAATCATCATTAACTTGAAACATTGGTGCATTAGCACAAGCACCAAGACATTCTACTTCAGAAATTGTAAACAGTTTATCTTCAGACATTTCTCCAACTTTACAATTTGTAGCTTTAGTTACAGCTTCAACAATAGAGTCAGAATCTCGTAACCAACATGGAGTACAGGTACAAATTTGTACATGATACTTTCCCATTGGTCTTCTATTGAACATTGTATAAAATGTTGCTACTTCATAAACACGCATGTTAGGTATATTTAGTATTTCTGCTACTTTATGCATAGCAGAAATAGGTAACCAGCCATGTTGACGTTGGGCTAGATCTAACAGAGGTATCATTGCACCACGTTTGTGGCCTTCAGGATAAATTTTCAAAAGGGCTTCAATGCGTTTTTTATTTGCCTCATTGAATTCAAATGGTATTTTTGGGTTATCAATTTCACTGTCTCTATGCTATTCAAATTAGAATGAATTAACATTAGTTTAATATAAAATATTAAATATATATATGTAATACTTACAATAAATAACTGATCTGAAGTCCGAATGGTTGAAGTTTGTAGCCCTCTAACATTTTTGCAATTCTATTTTGTTAGGAAAAATAATAATTCGAAGGTTTAAAATTGTTCAAGAACTTATAAAATATTGAATAATTATATTTCATGAACAATAAAAAAGATATCGTATTTAAGAAACAATATGTTTAGATATTTTTTGGAATAAATTTAATATTATATTTTACACAATAAATAAAATGTTTAAATAATTTAAAAAAAAAATTTATTTTTTGAAGCAAGATATTCTGTCAAAGTTCATTTTAATTTTATTATAATTAAAAATTTCGTGATACAATGTAAAATAGTTATTAAGTGAAAACCAAAGTAAAGTATATTTTATTTATATCAATGATATATACAGATCAATAGGAATGTATTTTTTAAAGTAAAAATACTGTCGTTAATGTAAATATAGTTTATAATTATTTGCCAATAGCTTTTGAAATTTTTTAATGCGTATTTGTTTCAGATAATAAAGATAGCTAGACGATTCTATTACAAATTTTATTGTATAATTTAAGACTTACAATTGATTCTAAAAAAATGCAAAATAAATGTTAAATTTATATAAATAAATAAAATTACATAAGTTTGTTGAAGAGGTTATGACATGAAATATGGTATACGATATTACACTGTCGACAATAAATAACTCACAGAAAGAGCACGAATTGTGCGCAAAGGCAAAAACATTATTACTAGGTTGTCGTGTACTTATTGTTAATAGCACTTTGTCTCCTTACTTTCTTATATTTTCACAATTAATATTTAAATCGCAGCTTGAGATATATAGCATTTCGCCGTTCAAAATGCCATCTAGTGCCTAAATTTAAAAACAAAAATGATTATTTTCAGTGTAATACTAATTTTAAATAATAACCATAGTCATATAAATCAGTAGATATAAAAGTATAGTATTTGTATAGTTAGTAGTAGTTTTCTTTAAATTGATTTTCTTTTATTTCATTTTCTCTATAATACTACTGTATTTTAGTGCAAAAAGTAATTGTTAATTAAATTACGTTTTTATAATAATATTCGTTTTGATTTTTAAAATAAAATAAACAAGTCTTAAATAAAAATATTAATTTTGTGCTCTTATTAATTGATTTCATATCAAGAGAAAATATAATAAATAACAAATAAAATATATATAATATATGAAATGTTATTATATGTTTAAAAAGAATAAACGCAAAGAACAATATTATATAGAAGAATTTATTTCTATTAGATTTAATGAGTAAGTCGCATACATCTTATGAATATCATTTTATTGCTAAAGAACATCATAATATATTTTCTATTTTCTATTTATTTTTCTATTTCTGAATTTATTTGTTAAATTTTATTTAGCAAAGTTTACGATATTAAATTAATTATTGTTTTATTATATGAGCAAAAATTGTGAAATAAATAAATGCAGTAAATTTGTCTTCCTTATGCATTGTATTTATTATTCATACAACTAATCACATTTATTACACCACAATACACAACGGTACACTTAATAATTTAATCGAATCTAAATTGTAATCGTGGTACAACAGTAATCGATTAATAATGTGGAGGTATAAATAGCACACTTACTGTGACATCATGTATATTCTACGATATACAACTGGTCAAGAATTTCGTAAAATCTCTGACCTGTAATCGGTATTTTTTCATCTACAATGCTGTCGCGCGATAAATTCTTAACTAAACAGTGCAGTTTCTGCTTTTAACACGCTCGAAGGAAATTGAACAATGTAACTAAGTTCTCTTACCTTCTATATCGTAACTATTTCGTGTGCTGTATATGACACCCAATGATCGTTAGTTTTCATCTGTTAATTTTTTGCAGTCTGCCTTACGAAGATATATGGATATTAATTACTTGTTTAATAATATCATTTGATCAATAAAAACGAGAATAAATTTTTATCAATCTTCATAAATTCAATCTTCAAGAACTTATATCTTCATGAAAGTAATTTAATAAAATGATATACTTAATATTTGAAATTGCCGCGAAATTATAAAATATCAAATAACTTTAATAATAATTTTCAGAGTGCAAAAAATCAAGATGTTACATTATTTTAATTTCTAAGTCGTCTATAAAATGATTGGAAGATGTGTTCAAATTATTTCGAAGTGATAGAACAGAAATGTTACAAAATTCGGTCGGTCGTAATATCGATAACGACTTTATCGAAATAACAAGCCACATCGATCGATCAATCGTCTTCGTAATATATCATATCTGTACGTGCATCGTTTCTCTCTAACACTCAAATATATGTACTAATTTTTGCAAATAGCTGATATATTCTTTACTTATACTAAAGCTATTTTACGTTGGTACATTTTATACACGTAATTATAGCATAGGCGACGGAGACAACGAATCTTCGAAGTAATGTCTCGCGAACAATGAGATTATAATAATTAAAGCATGATTCTCTTACAAAAAATCTCTTGCCGTTGACATCGAATAGTGGTATTTCAATCGAGTTATTACTAGTCGTGTTTATTAACTTGATCTTTATTTACGTGGTCCTTCTTTCATATTTTATAAAATTACGAGTTTACCAGAATAATGAAAATTTTCAGATTTATTTATCCAAATATATTAAAACAATGATATAAGGAAAATGGACGAGAATAACCTTTTTTCAAATGTGAAATTTATGTGAATATAACTGAAAAAAAATTTGTTTACATAGCGAGACTTATAAAAGGGCCACGTAAACTAAAATTTAAAGTATGTATACCATTCTATGTCGGTTTTCTTCGTAAGTCCGCTATTACAATCACATGAACACATGCAGCGTTCGATACTCATTAATATCGTAAGTACATAGATAGATCGTTGATTGTGGTATATAAAACGATGCTTAATTATCCACTTGTCGAGGAAGTAAGCATATTGTTATTACAAATCGAAATTTTTTCGACGAATCTTTTTTTCCAATTAAAATTTTAAATTATGGTACGAATTCTTTGTTCTGATTAGTTTTAATGATAACTAACAAAGAATTCGATGATTTAAAAGTCAGTGTTTTTCTCATACAGACCTCGGTTTAATAATAATAGAAATTGCATCTTTTACAAAGTGGCTAAGTGTTTATTGCCATGGGAATTTATGTAATATGAATATTGTAAAAATGATCGTTTAAAAAGTTAATATTTTCAAAGCCCCAAATTTGCAGATTTTTAAACAAAAATTTTTAATTGTGCACGGAAAATATAAATTGAAAAAATTTATTATTTAATAGATACTTTTCAAAGTTTCTAAACTTTTCGTTTTTTGAAATAGAAATAATAAATAAATATAAACAAGTACATGTTTTAAAAATAATACATGCAGAATTAATTAGAACGTGTTCTTTACATAGGTGTGGTTTACCAAAATTAAGAATTTGCAATTATTTGAAAAATTACTGATTATTGATTATGCAAGATTTCACATTACTTAGAGTAACTATAAAACATTTTGTATATAAATGAAATAAATGGTTATAAGACTTTATTAGTGAATATTAAAATGATTTAATATTTGATATATTTGATTTTTGTTTAGATAAATTAATAAAAAAATCAACTGATGAACTTGATATTATTTAATATGGTTAATTTAAGTAGAACCTCAAAGGAAAACTATACGATGTACGTGTTTGTCTCTGTTAGGAACTCATTTTTTAAGCAGGACAATTACCGTAAATCATTTATTTAATGTACCTGTATACGTGAGTATTGTTATAATTAATTCCATTCAACGATAATGTTTTTCATTTAATTTGTAAAATTTCCGTAGTCGGGACATCTTTATTGTCGAAGTATATACGAATAGCATGCAGGAAAAACAAGTTCTAAAATTCGGAAGAACAATTCATTATGTTTATATCATGTATGATTGTAAAATGAAATTTCTCGTCGCTAATATACACGTATTTTTTTGTACGAAATTTCATAATAAAGCGCATTAAATATACGTTAACTAAGTAAATACCATTTTCCTTGATGTCCTGTCAATGTTCATGACGACAACAAGGGTAATGTTAATTATCGTAAGTATTCCAAGTAAGACGGTAGTTACGATAATTTTTCATAAGTAAGTAGTAAACGATCATTCCGATGAACGGTTATTTCGACACATTTCGAGCTTAGCCTCTATATTTTCTCAATAATCGTTACTACTATTAATTATCACTACTGCTACCAATAATAATACTAATAATAATAATATCAACTAGAAAAGAATCTTAATAATTTATATAGAAATGTACAAGAAAATCTACATTCAACGTACGCGTATATATCTGTATAAACGTGATCGATCTGTGATAACCGAATGAGAAGAGAATAAATAAATTAAAAAAAAAAAAAAAAAAGAAATGGTTATGTGAGAAAAATGGGAAGTCCGAGAGCGGGGAAAAGACCATTTACAACGTTGTAAAACCTTACTCTAATTGATGGTATAACTGCAATAAGAGAGATGGAATATCGTAAATTTGCAGGAACGATTTGTAAACTCAAAGACCTTGATGTACACGATGTGATAGCATATTTCCATTAACTTCGAACTTAATTTAGTTTGTAACAATCGAACTTAATTTAATTAATAATGTACGCTGAAAAAAAAGAAAATTAACATTATGTAATAAAAACTTGTTTGTCTGAAATCTTATTGAACATATCGTTAGATTGCAAGCAGTATTGAATATTACATTATTAACATTATGTAAGTTATGCATAATTTTGGGCATCGTTATTTAATTGAATACATTAAGTATGTATACAAATATGTTGACGTTATAGAAAGTATACCTTATAGCATATCTCAGTTACATACTTGTGTTATGCAAATCAAAAAAAGGTAATAGAAATTTTAATTCCGTTTAGAGTTACCTAAATATATCTTGAGAAATAGATAAACAAGTTTTTATTGCTTATATACAATTCGTTAAATATAATTGCAGTTTTCTTTGTGATAATAAATTTTACAATTGTATGAAACGAATGTTCTTTTACAAATATATATTCGATTAAACCTTTAATTAAAATTGACGAAGAAATTAGAATATTATGACTTCGCTAAGAAATTCATTGTGTCGCATCATTATTCTTTCGTTTACGAGTGTTAATATTGCATATTCTTTGAATTTGCAATATATCAGTAACATATATAACAAAACTATCAAAATTACACATTTGTACGAAATGGTAGTTACAACTGATATGCAATATAACTAATTCTAATTCACTATCCAATACTGCACATTCGATTCGTATTAATACATTTAATGGAATACATTCTTTTAAACTCGTTTCGCATATTTTGAGCAAAAGGGACTAAAAAATGTTCAATTCGAAAAAATGGAGTATACGTTGTTATTTGAATTGCAACATAGCTTAAGTATATATAAAAATCAATTTATGAATTATAATTTATGAAACGTAATTTCCTTCCTTCGTTATACGATAAAGTGTAGTCCCAATTTCTTTTGGTTTATGATATAGTTCGAATATAAAAGGAAATATAAATTATAAATTTATAGGAAATGTATATATCGATATAAATGCTAAGTCTAATTTAGTACAAGATATTGCATTTTTGGTTCGATGAAATGCACGTGAGAAATTTTGTTTTAGTAATGTGTACATAATTCTTTTCAAATCTGGAAAAAAATTATTGTTCTGTAGTAGTATTACTATATATCGTAAAATCGTGATGTCGTACAGTGAAATTTATTTACTTATTTTGTACGTTTTATTAAGAAGTTACAAGCAATACAAACAGGGATGCGTACACTAACTTTTTACAAAAGTAATAAA